CTTCTTAATGCTCTTCGGTCGGCATTTGTGATATTACTTTTTTTAACATATCGTGGCTTAATATTGACTGCACCAGTTACGTTATATCTTCTAACAATATTTCTCACACTGTACCGTGATAAGTCTGACAAAGTTGTAATTTCTGAGTTTGATTTCTCAGAATTAAAAAATTTAATTATCAGTAACCGAATTTTCTCACTAATAACCTTTCCTCTACCCATTTTGATAACCTTAACTACCCAAAACTATTTTAAACTGACAGCTGTGATTAATAAAAACAATTGTCATGGCTTTCATTTTTCACTGCCACCTATGCAAATTTGATTAGGGACTGAGTAAAGTTGATGTTTTCTACTATATATTATCAAAATATTCATTGTTAATATTTTAAACCTATAACACCCTGCTACATTTTTATTATTTGTGTTTGGTAAGAAAAAAACTAAGATTTCAATAGTTGCGCCAACTGAAGTGGGAAGGGGCTCGTACAAGTATGCATCGAGAGCTATTATAATCAGTTATCAAATATTGTTGACAAAAAGAACAGAGGCTACTGCTTACGGATACACTCATTGCTGCGATCTGAGGATTTTTTTCATGCAAAGCCCAAATAGTGCGTTAATGGTTCTGACAAAATCTATGTCTTGATACCATGATACTACATGGAAAATTGTACTACAAGTTGTTTCGGGCACGCGGGCAGTGCAGTGTCAATCTACTTGACGCCATTGTTTGTCACGAATGATATGAACAACTCCACGCCACTGGCATCTCACCTGTAACTCTTGGGCTTTCTACAGCTTAGAAAGTACTGCCAGTTTTGATAATATTTTGACAATGGTTACAACTATAGCGAGAACAAAAAATATTACGGTGTTTCTTTAACTGAGAAAGTGAATAATCGTTGGTTACTCTACTATAAAACGAATCACCGGGGGCAGTAGATGAAAGATCATTTAGCTTTCAAAATTATATAATTTTAATTATTTTAGCAATGCGGGATTCATAACTTCCGCCTATAAATCCAACGGGGTTGAATGGGCTGCAAGATTGGAATCCCTATGATATTAGCATTAACTAGCTATACACCATAGTTCCAGATATAATGAAAATCATAATGCTTTTGCTGTGGAATTGCAATAATTGTTTCTGACCCTATGGTTTTAAGATGGTGTGCGACTACCATAACACCTTCATGATTACGGATGCTAACCAAACAGTTAAACTCCAACTTAACTTAGTTTGTTAGCTTGATGAATAAAGGATACGTTCCTCACAGTGCAAATTGTAATTAGTCAGACATGAGTATAACGCATTATGTTCTGTCTTAAGGGCCCGGGGTTCTGATAAAATTCCCGCTTTGAGTAACTATGTACAGAGCAAAATATTTCATAAGCAAATATTTGTATTTTTGTTTGTTATATAAACTCATAATTTCATGGGCAGAGGAAACTTTTCCTATTAGCTTGCCCCGATCTCATAATATACGGTACATGATATTGCACCCGGAGTTATAAAGTCAGCATAGCGTAAAGACTCGAGAAGTTCGGTCACTGTTGAATAGAAAAGGATTTAGTTAGCTTTAATCTACTTCATACAATAATAAATATCATTTGCTAAAAGTTTGTTGAATTTACGAAGAGGTCATCACATCGAACCAAAATACTCTTTTTAAAAATGTTAACATTACTAGGTGTTTTTACAATAATAGGCAGATTGTATAATTTTAGACGTTTTAACAAACATTGACTTTAGATTTAAATTGTTTTTATACGGAAATTTTCGTTTGATCTAATGTCCTATCCTCGCATATCAAGATAGGGTGGAGTCTGATTACTGATAGTTTTGAATCAAATAGTTTTGAATTTGTCTCTTAAATGATTTGGTGTATGTTTAAAAATTCAATGTCCTTAACATATTGGGGTATACCTGCTAAAATTTAATAAAATCAGCGTACATTTATTTAATAGAATTTGCAACCTCAATAATATAAAAGTGAACGCTCATTTAAGGGTAGAGAAGCAAAGAAAAGGGAAGTGAAACTCGTCCGCTGGGTTGCGTACACATAATCAAACAGTACATTTTTAAAAAATACAAAAATCTCGACGGCAGTAACAGAAAATAATGTATTTTTAACTATACCATCAAGACACCTCAAATGGCAATAATCGTCAAGCCGTGTGGGCTGTAAGTTATATATCATTTTGATTTTACAAAAGTTCAGTATATCCACTGTCACTTGTGTTACTTTTGCTGTCAGTGCATATATTATCTAGAGATACCTCAAACGTCAAAATCCATCAAGTTGTTTAAGTTGTGACCTGCGAACTAGAAATTACAAATTTAAACTTTCCGGTTAAAATCCACCATTATATTTTTATAAAGTTTTAATATAGACTGAGAAATAGAAATTTCAAGCTCGAGTTATTTTTATTAAAATCTGGCATTTTCTCTTCATCGAAATTTCATCAGACCGTTTGGCTGGTAACCCATGAAGTAGAATCTTTTGGATAGATATAAATAGATACATGCCCATGCCTCAAAAACTTTACCCTCCTTCTGAGACAGCGAAGTAATGTAAACTTGCACACTAGAACGAAACACACAAAACCATGCTAAATACGCAAATTTAAATATCCAACCAGATTCTCAGGGACTCCTCCACCAACCCTGTCCACTTCTGTTGACACTTATGGATATTTCTGTATTAAAGTTACAATTATTGGCATTCTATTTTTGAAAGTTGATGACATGGTGCTAGTTATTGTTTACACTTTTATACCGGAGCTTCTGTAACTCCATAAAGTTGTATAGTCTCATTTATCGAAAATAAATCAAAAACTCGATAACTTCATTAACATCTTATAAACACAGTTGTTGGACCCTTAGTGCCAGCAACTAATTTCCGCATTTTATGCCGTACAATTATTTATTGGCACCGCGGAAAAACTAGAATTTTGCTTATTTTACTGATCGAAAATAATATTTTCCAGATAACTAAACATTGCCTGTTGCTAGTGTTATTCTGTTACGGTTATTGAATGTACATGTCAGCATAATCTTAATAAATCTGTTTTTACTGTGATATCCAAGGATCCAAAAACAAGTCAACACTCCTACTGATCTGCCTCAATTATGGCTGCCCAGGTATTAAAAACCTGCCGCAACATGGTGGAGAAACGTAACAAGGTAGTTTGCTTCCTAAGTCATATTTATCAAAGGTGGCATTTATTGTCGAAGTGTATGTTTTACAGTATCTAATAGATAATGCTACAAGCCAACATAAAACTGGTACATTCACTCCATAATCAAATAATAGTAAAATTACAAGCCACGTCAAAGTTTGAAAAGCTTTGCACCACGTCATCTGTCAAGACAATGAAATAATTGTCAAGAAAAGTTGGTACGAACATGACCCGCAGCGAGTAACATCATCTGAAAGCGTCACCATCTTGTGGAACCAACAGATCATTACGGATCGGATTGGGCCTGCAAGCAATCCAGCTAGAGTAATTAAAGACACCATCTGAATCATCATCGACGTATCCGTGCAGATGTGCGGAAAAAAGAGTCTGAGAAAATTCTTAAGTACAAGGACCTGTCTACTAAGGTCAACAGAATGTGGCATAAAAAACACAGATCGTATCTGTAGTGACAGGAGCAACGGGAGCAACGTCCACCAACTTATTAAAACATCTAGAGATAGTGAAAATATCAACATGCAACTGCTCCATCAACAGCAACATATGGTACCGCACCTATTATAAGAAAAGCTTTAGGCTGATGCTCAGCCCTAGGGATGTGGTACGTCCCTGGTTACAAAAGGAAATCACAACGTCCAGCTTTCACAATTTAGAGCTGTGAAATGAAGAGAAGATGATAAATATAATAATAAACAACTTTTAGTTTTGGTGAAGTGTACCTACAAGCTCCACCACTTAACTCTTACAAAAGATCTGACTCAATCGAACTAAGATCCTCAACCATTGCTAACAGCTCGAAGTGGGCTATTCGGCCGGTGAGGCGTGACCTGTATTGTGACGTCATCAGACAGCCTCAAGCAACGATGAGACGAGTCTGAAATTCCAGCGGTAGCCATACTTGTTTACTTTTTTTATGGTGGTGAGCTTCATGTCATTTTTTTTTGAAGCTTTTGATCAGCTGTGACATGCTGCCCTTTCATGCAAACAAACTTCCATCCTATGGCCTCCCAGAAAAGTTTTGCAGATGGGTAGTTGACTTCCTCTCTGGCAGCAAGGTATTCGTCATAATGACGGGTTCTCCTCGTCATCCCACAATGTCAACAACCTCGTTTCCTGTACGATCAATCCGATGCTCAGCTTTGCTGATGACATCACTCTGTATGCAGGAATTCAGAGTGACAAGCCGATCTCTGTCAGTTATCTGGAGAAAAACGACTGGCAGCGACTTCTTCTCTGACCAGAGACCTGCAGGTTGCCGCTGCCTGGAGACGCAACAATCTGGTTTAATTTAATGTTTCCAAAACAGAACTGTATACTGAATACTGTAACAGCATTTTAGCTGGTCGGAGTCCAGATCATCGGCGACTTGGTCTGGCAAGGATTCATCTCATCAATAGCGGCAGCTGCTGGTAAAAAGCTAGGCTATTTGTTTAGTTTTTTTTGTTTTGGAAAATAGTAAACATTCTGATTACATGGGAAGTAGAGATTGAATCTACTTGACGCCCTTTTTCTGGAATAGAGATGCGCAGGTATCTTAGGAGCGACTGTCTGTTTCTGGGACGGTTAGTGGTGCAGCTTAGAAGTTATGTACTTTTCGTAGTCTGTAGACTTTGACGGACGCCAACACAGAATTATTGCAATATACCTACCGCTTCACTCGTAGAGTTTCAAACGTTCATGTAACTCATCTCAGGGGTAGAAATAACTCAAGCGGATGTAACTAAGTTCCTTCTTTTGTGGGAAACTTTAGACGGATTAGGTTTTTCTGTAGGGTTTTCAGACAGACAAGACATGTAAATGCCGTTTGCTTTCTACCCGCATTTGAGGAAGTATATTGTGTTAGCAAGGGTTGATAAGAATAACGAAGTAAGTCCTTATATAGTTCTTTTATAACAGAAAAACGATTAATTAAGGTGAAAAGTATGAATTATTACCTACTTCGAAATTCGTTCTAATATCCGGGTTCATAGTTCAACTAGCCTAAAGTCATGGCTCCGCTCGCGTGGAAGTAGTGTAAAGTATTATAGGTCATACTTCTTGCGTTAGTTTGAAGGAGATTTTTTTCGGAGAAAGAAATGCAATAGTCACTTTGGAAATAGATATTTTTTATTCAGCAACATATAAATGTTTCTCAAGTTTGTCAGCATCATACGTAAACATTTTGTACCCTTATAAATTCATACCCGAACTCCACAAACTTATCGTCAAAATAAAAGTTCTGAAAAAAGGCTTAAGATAACAAAAAAAAGTATCTATGACCTCAAGTATGACCTCAAAATGATCTCTAAGGCTTAACGTTAGAATGTACGGCTAGGTGATAGTACCATGCTTCCTATTTTAACCTGATTGCAGAGGTTGAAACAAGCTTTTCGAAATAAGGAGTATTAAAAATATTCTATGAGGCAACTTTTGATATCCAGCCTGGTACTGTCTTCAAAGGTTGAAAATTTAACAGTAAAATCGTTTTTCGATATGGATGGTTTTATAAAAAAAACTCGGAAAAAGATAGTGGTAAGTAGATTGACTCGGTACTTCCAAAGCATTTACTTATGCCCATTTTCAAATTTTCCGAGTCAAGATAAGACTTACTGAAGGAACAAAACGTATGAGCAGCATACTGCTTTTGAATATGCCCTAATCCCCAGCAATGAGAAACAATGAAAGTTGTAAAGCTTATAGAAACAAGCTTTGGAACGATATGAAAGGTATTTTAATTTCTACTCTGACATTTAGTCGATTTTCAAAATTAAGTATCATTACCTACTATGAGCCCACATGAATTCACGTATCGTAGACATCGCAAAACAAAAAATATTTCTATTACATAGCTCCCAGTATACTAAATGATCGCAAAACAAAAAATATTCATCAATTTCTCAAATTTTTGCATACACAGTACGCTACCCCCTTCCCGCCCCAACAAATGAAAACTCTGCTACTTTTCAGTTTTGAGGGTAGGTCCACTTGTACAGAAAGTTATCTCTTGTTGATGATCCACCCGCTCTGACTAAGAGATCTTTCTGTGGGGCCCATGGTCAATACGAGGCAATTCATATTATTCACTGCAAGCGTTCATGTTTCTTTTGTAAATGTTACTTTCCATTTGGGATTCGCCACAGTGGGGCAAATTTTGATATGGGGTCCCTGAGGAGCAAGCTATGCCAACGAAGCTGGCCTTAATTATACGTGTCTATAAAATGTCGAATGTTACTGAACTTGAACATTACCGGTTTCATTCATATTTTTTTCCTAATACTGTATAGAAGGTTCTCACGAAAAGAAAAATCAAGAAAATTGCGCAGGAAATTGGGAAATCATTGAAAACTTAATGATTATTTAAGCTACGCGCGTTTGACAGTTAGCTTGAGCATGGAGCACGCTTAGCAGAAGAAATATCTCAAGTACCGAAAGAAAGAGATAGGCACTCCTCTCCACCATCTTTATTCGAACAGCTATTGACAGTTATGCTATGTGAGAGAAAATTGCTTATGAAAATACGGTGGCTTTCGTTTCTGGACTTTCATTTCTTTACCATCCGTACTTTGTGATGGCCCCTTCAAAAGAAACTGCAGTGTGGCCTAAATGTTATCATTGTCAGTTAACTCTATAACTAACTAACTAATGAATAAAAATTAAAGATGAAAATACGTTTCTTTTGCTTAATTGACTTTCACTACTCTATCATTCTGGACTTGTCAGCTCGCACGCCCCAAATTTATATTATCGTTTAACAGTGTGTGTATCCATGAAAAAATATTACTTTATTTAATTAGTGGTGCACAGTCCATTCGATTAGAGCTTTTATACAGTATTCAGTTTGTTCAGTGAGTTTTTTGAAAAACATTTGTTCAAAAATAATGAAGTGGAAGTTAGTTCACCGCAATCACGCCTGATATTAAAATTGTGATTCTTCAAAATGCCACCAATTAGGTGTTCCAACCTAGGTCGCAGAATTAGCAGTGCTTCAAGTCAAACATATTATTCAAAGAAGTCAAACTGACGAGCAACGAGAAGCGAGAAATGAAGCTGAACGGGATCGATGGATTGAAATTTAACAACGTAGAAGGGTCGCATTTAATCCCAACCGAGCTGCATTCAATTATGATATAGCAATCGATTACAGTTCACAGAAAGTTTGCTATTGGATCAATGAACGTTGTGAGTCCAGATTGCAAGGATCAGGCTTAAAAATGGAGACCCTGGATTATGTTCTGTCAGTGGGCCAGATCCTATACATGTTTTGATTCATATCCAGCAATACAATAATTGCTTTCAAATGACGTCATTCGGCTCAACAAAATTCGTTCGACATAATTTTATGCCTACTTTCAAGTTAAGTTGATGGGTGAATGGCAGTGCTGCCAACGTATTTTGCTAGCCACATCGTACAGACACTTCGCTATGCAATTACCTACATTCCATATCTTTACCCTTTTATTATTCGTTATTCATCCCAGTGCATAGCTAAGACAGGACAAAGTCTGTCGGGACGGCTAGTTCATAATATTAGTAGGGATGGCTTGTTCGCAAAGCAGGCTTTGAGAAAAATTAAATGCGCAAAACATGCGTACTACTTTTTCCATCTTTCCTAATCATGTTCAACGGAGCCGAAGGTCAAACGATGGTCTTTTGCACACAGAAAGCCTAGAATGTACCGAGTTTCATTCGGTTGTAACAACGGAAATAATAATTTCGCATTGAGAAACATTAAGCGTGCATACCATTGACGAAAAATCTCATAAACTCTTACGTATTAGTTAATTTCTACGATGTTTTTGGTGTATTTGCACTCTTCAACTTGTCATAATGATACAATGACAACACCCCCAACGGCCGGGTTTTCCAGTTTCAACATCGCCGACGTTCGCGTAATAAAGTAAACTTTTTAATAAGGGGAATAGAAATTATGCAGCAGCTGGCGCTGTAGAGCGAGAAAAGAAAATGTCTCTATAGCTTTAGCTAATTAGCTTCAGCCCATCTGGGCTATGGAGCCGCCGGTTAGCTAATTTGGGTGAATTTGCTGCTCCATTAGCAAGTTGTATGCCTCGAGGTTTCCTTTTAATAATAGTGTTTCGGAGCCGAATCATATTGCTTTGACTGGCCCAGGAATACAGCGTAATCCTTGTAAGCCATCATATTTATCCTGTACAATAACATTGATCAACGTATTCTACCTGAAGACAGCCAACCTGATACTATATTCCAGCATCCAAAAAATTATGCGAGTTGAAATGAGATGCCGTGGCGTCATCTATGAGAATTTTCCACACCTGTTTCTCCTCTCCGCACCCACGAATTGAAATAGAGTAGAAAGAGCTGGGCCTATATACTTGAATTATCTTGTTTGTCGTCAAAATCGTGTAGTTTTAGTGCATACTTTTGGCTAATTTACCTAACATTGCCTACCAAAGTGACGAGCCAATACATCGGCGTACGTTCTTGCCTCTGAAAGGATATTTAAGTAGCTAGCACTGGGTATACCTACTAAGAGTAAGGGACAAATACCATTTGTCTTGCGATGCAAATCGCTTAGTTATATATTATAATAATGCAAAGAAAAGAAAGTATTATTTATCAACAATACAGCACATGAAGAATTCTGCTTAATTCGTGATTTTGGAATGTGAAAAGATTCCCTTCATCAACTTATTATCAATATAGTCATGGAAGATATGGAGGTACTCTCAGATTCTGATAGTTTTGTTGGGCGTAATGAACTTCATCCATAGAACCTTGTGTCACTAAAGTGGAATCAAAAAATTACTACTTATAACGCGAACGAACTTTCTCAAGAACTTTTAGATTCAACATTGAAGATGAAGCTAAATTTCGACTTGGTTTAGCTGGGTTAACGTTTCGGTAGGCGCTTTTCAATATCCATAAAAAATTTCGTTTGTCTCTAATATTTTGGTTTCTCAATATTGTTAGGTATACATTTCTTTTAATAAGCCTTAGATTGGGACTGAGTGCTTGATGAAACACGAAGTGAAATAAAATAAATCAAAATTACCTCAGTAGAACTCAATGTTGAGGTACATTTCATTTTGCAATGCCGAAGACTATAATATATAACATTTGTCGATAAAAAGTTATGCTCTTATTCAGTTTAAAATATTTTTTGCAATCCATAGAACCCACGCTCTTTTATGGGTTTTCGCAGAAATGTACGAAGTTAATGTGAAATGTCAACCACTGTCAAACTGGCAGCTTAAGCCTGATTTGTAATATGAACTTGCATTCTGACTACGTAATTTTGGCGGCAAACAAATCGTAAGCTTGCTCTTATACCCCACTAATTTGAAATCAAATTTGGAAAGGTAAGTACCTCATAGATGGCGCCCTAGCCAACTATATTAGATATTTGGCCACAGCAACATCCGTGAGCCACTAAGCTTTTCAAAGTAGATTTTTAATCAGTGCGGAGAGGTAAAGCATAGCTATAAGAAATTCTTATATATGACGTAGATCTCATACCTTATTGGATAATTTTTTAAACGCGAAAATATAGTATAAGGTTGGCTATCTCCAGTTTAAGTACCAATGACAATAATTATTGAAATCAGATGTCGTTTATCTTAGATCTAGTATGGTGTTACTTCAATATGTAAAACTGTCCAACCGCAATGATGAAAACAACTTCAAACAGCTATTACAAATTGTGTACTGAACCCAACAATACGCTGTTATAAGATGCGGGCTGCCCAATTTGGAGGCCCGGTACAGCGTACTTAATTAACAAAAAAATGCCGAAAGCCATCTTACGGAAAATTTTGGGTAAATTTGCTGTTCATTCTGTGTGTAATTTTCATATCATTATTTTGGAGCCGACTCAATTTGCTTTGGCTCGTGAAGGATTAAAAGCAAATTGTTTCGAATCCATAGTGTTTATCCCGACCGATAAATTAAAACTGTATGTACGGTGACAAATCAGGGCTTTTATAATTCGACCACCGCAAAGCTGATGACTGGTATTGTTGTCCTATAGAGAGCTTATTAGCTTTTAAAAGCATACTTAGAAAATCGTAGTCAAACAATCATGCTTAGTTCTCGAACATCCATCCATGCCAATTAAATTTGGTGTACCACAAGGTTCTGTGTTGGGACCATTGATTTTGACACTGTACACTAGTCAGTTTACCAAGTTTATTAGAACCAGCTCAGCACATATGTATGCGGACGACACGTAGGTATATCGTTCTTTCTCGGTGACTGAGTGCAAAACAGTGTATAACCAAATTAATCAGGATCGTGCTATTCTGGCAGATAGTTCTGCAAGGCATTCACTCCTATTAAATCCTATCAAGTCCGAGGCTATGGTATTTGCTAAAAAATCTAAATGTAAATTTTTTCGCAAGAAGCTTCAAATTTACTAATGCTAGATGTTATAATTATCTTCTTTATCATCTAAATTTAATCAATGCACATAAAAATGAATTAGTTTTTTATAACTTTATGATCAATTAAACTATTACAATTTTCATAATTAATTTTTGTGACCCTATATGTTTTTTGGTTAGTTTTAGGTCAAGATATTTTTAGAAGTATTGTATCAATCGCAAGGGTTGAGTGGAAGAACACCTCTAGGTGAACTCCCCCTTTGATGATCTCCCAACATCATTATTTTCTTTCTCAGGTGTAGTAATTTCTTGTTTGCCCGAATATTAAAATTATTGCCCAATAGATGGTTGCGGGTACCACATCACGGTGGAGTATACGAAAATGTTATGTTATTTGACACTCATTACTCATAAGTTATCGATCTAAATGTTAAATGAGGTTAAAACAAACGTTCAAGTGACCTGTAATGTGATTACCCATAACTGCCTAATATCATTACCGCAAACTATATTACACGACATACTATATTCCACTTGAAGAGATCGTATCTGGGAAACCAGACCTAACCGACAGCTTATATTGATTAATAAGTTAGCGATATATTTATGTTTATACAGTATTGATGTTTTTCCTCAGTGGGATCTGTGAACTCTATACATGCAAGTAAGGTAATTTTAAAACTGGGAGGTTGATAGTCGATAAAGCACTTTTCGATGACAACAAACTGCAACCTTTGATTTAAAATTACTAAACACGCGCTTTGAGGAGGCTGAGACCTGTATACCTTGTTCTTTTCGTCGTTGTGTTCCAATTCCTGGTTATGTACCAGGGCATAAAGTTCAGAAAAAAATATAAGCGAGTATTGTTCAACTCCCTGACAAGATTATATGTGTCGTTGCCTATACTGGGGTCCATCACTTTGGACCCCCAGAACGTTAAGGAGTCTGAGCTCCAGGTCATACTAAAAGGCCCGTATCGTCAGTCGTCCCTACAATTGTAGGGCTCGTTTATCGCCTTCTTGATTTCGATAATATTACGTCTTCTTCGTTAACGTACATGTATGTCCTCCTTTTGATTTCCGACATACTGACAGTTCTGTCTTGAGGTTGTTTTGACGTTCAAGACACACAACAGCAGAACCATAATTTATAATTTTCTTGCAAATAATATGGATCACTCAAAAATACCTCGCTACATTGAACAAATTCCACAACCTGTGGTATCTTCAAGAAATTGTTGAGGTAGGATAATTAATGTACATGGATATATTATATTATTTTATATTTGTGTGTATGAAAGTCCAGAAGCTTACAACCAAGCTATTCTCTTGATGGAGGTTAGTAAGTTACAAAACAAATCATTGCATATCCATATTATATGTATACTTATCGCATTATTTTTATGTGTGATTCATTATCACAGACTTTATGAGAAGTTGGTTCCTCAGTAAAATGCTATGTTTACTTTGGAAGGATAAGGATGTGAATGATCTTTCTAAGAAGGAATTTATGCATCCAGGCATAATTGAAGGAATCTTAGAGAAACAAATCGTGGATTTGATTTATGTGACCGATATGTGTTACACTGCAATGTGTTAATTAAAGCCTGGCATAAACCTGTATGATCATAGTCATAATGATAAGAATTAACACTTATGAACTTGAAGACAAGCTGTGCTAAGCAAGTATGTATAATGTGTAAAGGTTCTGAAATTGAGTCCATGGTAAATTGACAATCATGATTTCAGGATATTAAAAAGAGCATGGGCATGTAGGAGCACTAATTATGCGACATTACAAGGTGTAAATGGGAAAATTGAGTTGCAGCATGAAGTTAAATTCTTCATTACTTTGTACCATCATGGCAGAAAATTCCACAACTAATTACAAGAAAACTATGGGAATCAATTCCCTGCTTAAGGAATGTCAAACACTGAATAGGACTGATATTTGAGGTGCTCGCCTTGTTTTACAATATTAGCCTTGTGGGCATATATGTATATATATATATTGATATAAGCAGAAAAGTTTTTTTTTAAATGGGAAGCTGTAATGAAAATGTATCGTATCAAAACTTCAAACTGCCAATTTCAATTATTTGAATGTTCTGTGTATATAGTATGTGTATACATTGTGGTTTTTAGTTCCTGTTGACAATGCAGACTACAATAGAAAAATATTCGTCAAAAACAAAAGCTTCAGCTGCTGACCATGATAAACAATACAGCAATGTGGTTGGAAGTAAGAAAAATGATGCAGTCAGCCTCAGGCCAAAAACAAAGCCTTGAATCGAATTGCAGAGAACTTCAATTTTCAACGTTTTCTAAAGGACTTTGTATGGTTAATGCAGATAATGAAAAATTCTTTTTTTTTTGAAATAATCTAACCTGTTTACCATCATTCAAAAATATATAATCAAGTTCAAACTGTCAATTTCAAATATTTGAATATTCTGTGTATATGAATTCAGTTTGGTTTGAAGTTCAACCCAGCTATGCATTAATAATAGACAAAAATATATAATAAAAATAATATAATAGTTAAAAACAATAAAACCAATCTGGTGCGCTATCAATAGAAAAAACTAGGCCTAGCTTTACATTGATAAGAAGTTTAATTTCCAGTAGCAGCACTGATGTAAAAAGCAGAATTTGGTATACGTATATGTGAAAAAAAAGGAACTGTGATTAAATAATCTGTTGCAATATACCTTTTCAGAGAAAAAACAAAACCTTTTCCTGTCTATTTTGGCAAATAAAAGTAAGATAATACTGAGAGACATAGTTGGCTGCTTACAAACAGAGGATGTCTGATAGATTCCAATAAGGTCCCAGCATTTTACTTTCTTGACAGTGTTGTACGACATATTGAAGTGGTGCTTGACGATCCCTGTGATAGTACTTTTCTTACTTATAGAATTTAAACAGCAAAATCCATTTTCATATGAAATAAGCTAATGGACAGTCTAGGTAGGTACGTCCAGTTGCATGTTTTACAAAAACATGGTTGGGCGGGTACCTAAAGCTGAAATCTGTCGAATATTTCAGAATCAAAACAAATCACGCAGAACCATTTATCGAACAATAGCGGAGGTAAGAGAGATTGGTGAGAAGGGCAAAAAATTAGGTTGGAATGTCAACAATGAGACTGGCTTGTCAATACAAATCGTCTAAAAGTACGATATCCTTGGAATTGAAGAAAAATAGTCATAAATATCGAAAGTGACTTAAGTGCCCAAAATACTCTCAAGCGCAATTCATTCGTATACCAAAATGCTGTCAACTGGGGCGGATACACTTTGCTAATTGAAAAATCATTATTTTGGATGACATAAAGTATTTCATTTCGAGTGATTCTGAACTGAAGGGAAACGACGAATTTTATACGAACAATGTAAAGAAATGCCCTGACAATGTTAAAATGTTGGATACAAACATAAAGCGAAATTTGCAGATCTTTGTCTGGAACGCAATTTCTGACAGGGGTGTATCCCAACCTTTTGTGGGAAGAGTGAACGATGAAGTTTCAAATAGTTAGAGCTATCTTGATAACTGCCTTTCCAAATTGGTTCAATTTGTCCACGAAGATCATATTAATGACCATATCATGTTTTGGCCAGACCTAGCAACATGCCATTACTCAAGAGACGCCCAAACTGGCTACGACAACCTACTTTTTGTTCCAAAAAACGATAGTTCTCCAAACTTGACACAGAGAGGATTTTTGGGCTTCACTGTCTAGGAAGGTTTATCATGGAAGCTGGGAAGCTCAAGCTGAAGAACAAGCAACACGACGAATTACGAAAAACAGAGAAATTGATCTGAATTCCGTCCAGGATCTCATGAGAGACATTTGAAGAACGTTGCGCATGGTAGAGCAGAAAGGTCCACTCCACATAATTTGATTGTATAATAATTTAGTTAAGTATTGAGTTACAATTTTTGATAACTAGTAAGTGTTTAAAATAAATGTATTCATTCAAAAAGTTACTATTTTTAAGTAAAAGCAGCCTTCAGTGATGTTTTTACAAGTCAATATGCATGTTTCCTCTTGCCTACTGAACTTTCCACACAACTGTGTGTGTCTTTTTCCAGAAAATGGACGAAGCTATTATGTAATTATGTTGTGCAAAATAATATCCGTCCATCAATCCACGATATTAATATATTAATGCACCAGCAAAGTCGCCTAACAATCGCAGCAAAGGTTCGTTCTGAGCTCTCTATTATCTTTATTCCGATGTCAGCCGTTAAAATAAAACAAAAATAGAGCAGTCCTCATAGTATAGAACTTGAATCGGCTATGAAAAAGAAACATGAATATATTTTTGGTTTTATCGGAAAGACATTGAAGAATGAAATACAATACCATTCAAATGATTGCTGAGGAGAATACACGTGTAGATAACCACGGCTGGACGACAGCACTCTGCATATTGTAGATAAAGTCTCAGGAGCTATCGATGATGAAGGTATGATGGAACTAGTACTGCTTGACTTTAGTGAAGCATTCGATACAATAGATCACACGATATTACCAGAAATATTAAAATCTTGCGGTGCTAATGCTGCGTCAACAGAGCTGGAGAATTCATATCTTTAAAATCGTAGTCAACAAGTTAGACTTTTCGGCACACCATCACCTATCAAAATTGTATTGTATTGTGTGCTTCAGGGATCTATAATTGGGCTATTATTGTTTACTATCTACCCTTCATATTTACGCCGTTATGTAAAATGCATAAGTGCGCGGACGATACTCAATTGTACCACAAATTTAAAGTAGACGATGTATATTGTGCAGAACAAAAAAATTGACTAATAACTTGAGTAATTTTTCATGTATACTAAAACAACATTCTTTATTATTAAATCCGATAAAGTCCATTCGGCTGAACTACACTACGCATATCGCAAATATTTCATTTCTGATTTTAAAATGAAAGATTAGGATGTAACTTGTACGAAAATAGGAACCCTCTGCTTGCTATTTTATTGAACGTCAAAGTTGCGTTTTGGGTGGTAATACTGTGGTATAAAATACTGCTTTATAAACTGTTTTTTTCTTATTTACACAAAAGAATGCTCAACATTATATGAATATAACATAAACTATACAGGGTGACTTTGAAGTTGAGTCATTAATTTTCAGATAATGATTGTAGAAGGAATATAAACCAAAATATGTGTGTAAAAATAAAAAAAAAATTAAAAAAAATGTTTTACCTTGTTTTATAAAGTATCCTCCCGACAAGTATTTCAGTGCGGACCTGTATTTGATCGTGAGGTCCCCTGTGAGGTCTTAAGTCACCTGATTCACGAGCCCGTTGTACTACATTAACAAAGGCACGAGGGGTTGGTTGCACTCGATTGGGAAGCCGATCCGCATAAACATGTGCCATTTTTTATTTCGTTTGAGCCACGCAACAGATACAACTATTCACTGACACTGACTGTATACAAATGAATGAAATAATTCGTTCCAAATTCTTTCGCTTTTTTGTTTCCGATGCGATGAACCGATACGACGGATTATATCCGTTGTCGCCAAACACGAGCACATTGAGACAGGGCGGTACTGAAACTTCCAAAGGGCTATAACTTTGTTACTTTAATTTTACCAGAAAAATGGTAAAGGAAAAAAACATTTCTTTTGATCAGATCTACTCACTGTTAAAACAAATGACTCAACTTCGAAGTCACCCTGTATATTAGTGTGACACTGTTCATCGTAACAATGCAATTTTGCATTATTTTAATGATGAAAATAGAACATTGTTAAGTAGTCATTTCTTTTATTTCAGATAAATATTCCCATCACTATACCACCATCACTATCATAATTTCTAGTTGCGATGTTGCCAAATCATCGATAGTAATGTACCTTGATTTGGTTTGTCAAATTCTCACTTATATACTAGGGCAAAAATGTGCAATCGGCACATGATTGCCATGAAAATGCGATTTGGAGGTGTGGCCAACAGGTTTTACTGTACTAAATCTACCTCGTATCCTACGATAGAGTTAACTAAATACACTTTCTGAAGAATGCCTTATGCCTTTCACAAAAATACTTCAGTTATTGTTTTTCCTATATTATAGTTATAATCTACTTACTTTCTGTATGTACGAGTATGTACTTGAAGAATTATTCAAAGTGCAGCTACATAACCTAATTAAATGTGATATATATGGGAAACGACTGAAAAAGTAGCTATTGTCAGTCACTAAATAATGAAAACATAACAAAGTAGAAAATGCATTTTTTTGATGATTTGATGGAATGGTCGTTGATCTTTCTTTAACTATAATGTTGGACGATGATATATTGAGTGGACCTGGCAACGTGGTCCAAATCGGCTAATCGAAGCTGGGTATTTTTAAATGCAATGACCGCTGCTGCATTTTCCACTGTTTAGGCACGTACAAAATTCCATCTGTTTTTGAGTAAATATTGGGTTTACTATAAAACAAGCCATTTACAATAAATTAATACTTTTAATTTACAAATATCGTTTTTTTATTACGTATTTCTCCAAAAAAAAGTACAACTTGGCAACAATGTACATCTCATCTGTCAAGTAATGAACGTTATAAAATGGCTGTTGAGAATTATTTGTGGTTTCAAATATTTCTTGTAAATGCAAAAATTTTGATCTCATTGAAAATACGCGAAACAAAGTGGTTAAGGAATTTCAAGAAGACATTAAAAAATCTCAAGAGAACACCTCCACACAGTTAACCAAGTAAATACCATCATTTACGGTATGTATTTTGAACTGCTATTTTAGCCTCTTGTCGGCTAGTTTTGGACCTCTTTTTGCAAAAACAATGAGTTTTTGTAGCTTCACACCTATTCTCCTTAAGAATTATCTTTTCTGCTGGTTTTTAATTTTTTTTCCGAAAAACCCAAGAATTTCGGCCTTTATGAGCTAAAGTCTTAAAGGTATGTATTTGGAACTGCCATTTCAGCTTACTATACAGCTAGTGTTAAACCTTTTTCTTTGAAAGAACAACGATTTTTTCTTTCACATCTATTTTCCTTAGTACTATATAGTGTATGTTATATTCTTATAATTTGGAGCATCCTTTTGTGCAAAAGGCAAAAAAAACAGCGTATAAAACAGTATTCTATTCTAGAGTATTACCACCAAAAACGCAACTTTGAAGTTCTATAAAATAGCAAGCAGAGGGTTCCTTGAAGAAAAAATGATATTTTCGTAAAAGTTACATCCTAGTCACTATGCGCTAAAGTATAGTCTTACTCTTCTTTTGTTTGGACCCAGTCGCGTTCGTGGAATAATCAAAATTAATTTTAGCATCACAATTAAACCATTAGAAGACGGAAATAACCTTGGGTTAATACTCAGGAGCATATAAATATAAAACATGCCTATTCTTCACTCAGAATCCTGTATCCCCATCGCAAGTATTTAAATTATGACACTAACAAAACTTTATGTGAAAGTCTTGTACTGTCACAGTTCTCGTACCTTTAACCTATATACCCTAGCAGTTTGGTTGTAGAAAGTTGCAGAAAAATCCAAATAGTTCAAAATTCTTGACATAAGAAAATTTTCGGAAAATTTTTTAGAAACTGAATGGATCAACATGAAAAACAGACTCGAAATTTTTGCGACATATTATAAAATTATTACACCTTCCTGTATAAAAAAATTAATTTCGATCAGAAGTTCACAATATTAATATTAGATGGAGTTTGAGGGCTGAGAGAACTCCCATTTAAGAAGACAATTAAATCTTATATTTTTGAAAAACAGCAAGAATGAATCTTATGATTTACCTATATGTTCAATTTTTATCCTTTAGTTGATTCAGTGAAACAATCAACCATTTTCTGTATCTTCGTATGGTTGAGTGGAATAGCACGCAATGTGAACTGTGGGAGGCTATATATCACGTTTAGCGCCTATAAAAGACAAGCCTCAACTTCAACCTTGCAGCTCTCAATGAAGTAAAACCAACTACTATCAGTTATACCCCAATGAGTCTAAAAATACAAAACACTACACTTTATTCATATTCTCTTCTCAAAATCCCTTCAGGTATATCTAAAAATAGTATTCTATCATTAGATCCTCCATACGTCAAACGATACGCTTGTAAATTCAAAATAAATTCTACCCCGCTTTCCATAAAGCACTTCTATCGTCCCCTTTGTGTAGAAACGGCTCTGTTATTTTTCCTCTTGTGTAAACTTTGGTGAGGAACCAGGAAAAGTTGATGCGTAGAAAATACCGTATTCGTGTGTACAGGAAGAAATATTCAGATACGCGGGGAGTGGAGTATTTCCATTAGACTGAAACACTGTCCGTAGCATTGAACTTCCTTCCCTGCACGACACATCTGATCCATAATTTCGCGAAAGACAGCATTTTGCATGCAGACATCACAGTACCTCAAACGAGATAATTACATATTTTTTCCACTACATGCTACAAAAACATTGGATTTCACATACAATCATGACGTTTATAACTCATTTTACAAGTACTCAAATCTATCTATACTAAGTGACATATAAATCCGAACACCCAGTTTAAATGGTTTTATTTTAATAAAATTTTGTATAAGTACTTAATGAAGCATAATAAGTAAATGATAAAAATTTCAAAATGATTGCACTGATTTAAAGCCCTTTGACCTTTAATAATGTGTGGATGCACCCTGATGTGCTACGCATTCTCCAACGCGCCTAGGCATGCTTCTGATCAGGTGGTCAATGTCCTCCTATGGTATATCATTCCAGGCAACCTCCAACTCCTCTCGAAGTGCTTCTAGAGTCTGAGGAGGACGTTGCAAATTGAGCAATCTCCTACCCATCATATACCACACGTGCTCAATTGGGGATAAGTCGGGAGATCTTGGTGGCCATGGTAACAATGTGACATCATTATGTTGAAAGAAGTCTATTGTGACTCTTGCAACATGTGGTCGGGCATTATCTTGTTGGAAAGTTGGATCTGCCAGGGTGTCAAGATAGAGTAAAAGATGGGGTTCTAGAACTTCGTGGATATAACGCTGCGCGTTCATGTTACCTCTGATGAAGATTAAAGGTGACCTGGAACCATAAGCTATAGCACCCCAAACCATAACTCTAACAGTGTGATGAATATGTCTTTCAACAAAAAACTGTGGATTCCTCCTTTCACCACGTTGCCTTCTAACCCTGGCTCGACCATCGTGCATGCCTAAACAGAATCGAGACCCGTCACTAAAGACAATACTGTTCCATTCCTGATCCCAGAGTGACCGTTGTCTGCACCACTCAAGGCGATTACGTCGGTGTTGTCGAGTTAAAGGGAGGACCCAGTGTGGCCGGTATGAAAACAAGCCAAAACTTCTCATTCGTCGGTAAACACTTCGCATGCCAATAGGTCTTCCGTGTTCTGCAAACCATTTATTTGCAATGGACCTGGTAGTGGAGAAACGGTCCCTTAAGGCCAATAATCTTAGGCGGCGATCTTCACGGTCTGTTGTTCTACGGCGGCGTCCAGTGCCAATTGCTGTTTGCGTACGGTTTTCTCGAAGCCATGCCTGACAACACCTAACCACAGTGTCTACACTTCTTTGCACTCTAAC